GTTTGTCAAATGTGCTCAGGGTGAACCTGCTGTGATCTGTAGTACACCAGTCATGCACCTGCCAATTCTGGTATTCTATGGCAAATACTAGTTGGGCTCCACAGTGCTGGGAGTGAACACAGGGTCCACTAAAGGACATTGGGCCGTCAGGCCACCTACATTAAATCTGTTTCTGATTCTTTGGTCAGAGACTTTCACATCAGTTGCTTGCTGAAAGTCATTTTGTAGCTCTGGCAGTGTTCATCTTGTTTCTCCTTGCACAAATGAGCAGACAGCAGTCCTGCTGATGGGCTAAGGATAAGTGACCTTCTCTGGCCCTGTCCAGCTCTTCGAAAGTAACTGCCTGTCTCCCTGGAATCTCCATGCACATGAGATTGTACTGGTGGACAAAGCACACCTTCTGGCAAAGGCATGTAGTGGGGATCTCTGATCAATAATCCTGAAGGAGTTGGAACACCTGTGCAGCCTCTGTAGGGTCCAGGTATCACCTTATGCTACCAGTAGTGACACTAGCCAAATGCAAACCAGTGAAAAAAACAGCAAGAAAAGATGAGGAGGGCAAAAATGTCAGCGGGATCCACCTATGAAACCATTCCTATTTTGGGATTGTCTCATTGTTACTCCTCTAGGACACCGGTTGTTAATTTCATCAACAAAGCAGTACCAAAGCAGCTGAAACTGATTAACAACTCCCTCTGCCATTTTAATTGACCAGATCAGATCAATATCCCAGAAGTTTATCTGACTAAATGCTATACTTTGATCATTTTTTGAGCAGTGCAGATCACTGTCTTACAGAAAAACAGCTCTACCAGTATATCCACAGCTGAGATTAGTAGCACATGTTACTGAATCTTAGACAAAGTCAACCTACGATTCTTTCATTTTCTTTTTTTCTTTTTTTTCTTTTTTTTTTTTTTTTAATTCTTTGATTTTTTTTTAATTCTTTCATTTTCAGAGTCAACATAATAAAGGTCAACTGGGCCTCTAATGTATTAATTTTATGCATCTTACTTGTATTAGTATTCGAAAAGACTTGGACTCATAACTGTGTGCTTTGAGATTTTAGTTAATATTATTTCAGAGATTATGCGGTCCTTAGGAAATGTAACCTGAATTTGTCCAGTTCTGAGGCCTCATTGCTGATGTCACTCTCAGGCCTGTGTCTACTTGTGTTTTTTTGAGGAGGGATGGATCTGCTGGTTCCACTGCTGCATCCTTTACTGTGACTCAACACTGCCACCTGCAAACACAAGGAGTCTCACACCACAATAATACACACAGATAGGTAGCAATGTGAGCTGGTTTGTGGGGTCTGTTATTAAAATGTCTAGACATTCAGCCTTGGTGTGGTGTCATTTGTTGTTGTTGCTGTCCACCTCTTGTCTGGGACTGTTTTTGGCAAGCAGGGACTGGAGCCTCCTTAGATCACGAAATGCCCTATAAAACATGCTTATCAGGTGATTTGTGGTTTTCATATCACGGAGATGAATTCTGAACTGGGTCAAGAACAACTAAATAACTGTAAGGAGAAGATAACCAAGCATACTTGCTGTGTGTTCCTATGGATTTCGGGGTCAGTTTTTCTTCTTGTTTCAATTTTTTAACAGACATTTTCAGCGTTCCCCGCTGCTTTCATTAGGAACCTGCGAAGCATTTTGGCACATATTCACATTTAGTCAGACATAAGAAACTCAGTGGCGACAGTGCTACTTCACACTGGCCAAAAACGACAGGTCCGCTGATAGAAGGCGAACAAAAAAAGTCGCGTTTATAGTCGCTTACCTTTCCCCCAGCAGCAGAAAGCTGATTTGGCCTATAGAAATTTGGCCTCATTAAATATCCTGAGTTAGTTTTATTCGAGCAACAGCAACTATACGAGCAAATAGTATTAGTCTATGTTGCTATGGTTACAACCGACGCGCATCCAGTTCACTCGCCGTATTTTGTGCTACGCTGTCGGAATACTTGGCACGGGTATATATATATATAAATTATATTTTAAAGGAAATTTAAATAACTTAAAATATTTCTCATTACTTCTCAACACAGTCCAGAACAAAGGAATAAATTAATACATATTATAAGACCCAGAATTTCCTTATGTTTCCTAGCAATAGGAATTCTGTCATATAAGCTAAACATTAAGTTAAACAGCCTATAATTAAAAAAATGAATAATGGTAATAATTATACAGGTCAATATAAAAATGAAGTATGACAAAAATTTAATGTAAATCTTTCAAACATTACTGTTTGAAAGAGTTACTTTTAAATAAAAAGTGGACTTTGCATGTTTCTCTCCAGGTACTCCTCCAATAATATAAAAACATACATGGAGTTTAAAATACTGGTGACTCTAAACTGGTCTTAGGTGTGAATGTGAGCATGAACGGTTCTCTGTTTTTCTGTGTAAACCCTGTGACACCCTGGAAACCTGTCCAGAGTGTACCCTGTGACAGCCATAACAAAGTGAAATATCTCAAACTCAACAGCAAACCTCGACACACACAGTGGTCAAAGTTGTGACAGTACAGGTTTGAAGTAAAATATTAACATGAGAGAAGAGATGATTAACTGCTAGACAGATGTGTTGCATTGCTAAGAGTTATTGCATAAGGTATGAATGATTTCCTGTATTTGTCCTTGTGGCAACGTTCTCAGATTGCAGGCCTATTTATGGGTCCTCTAGTTTCCAGAAGTACAAATGGAGGTAGAGCTTTTACCCACCAGGCTCCTCTTGTGGAGACACAAATCTGGGAATTTTTCATTGCTGGTCCTACAATTCCACACAGTAAAACCATACTGACTTAATTGTTGCACTGCTAAGACCTTTTAAGATTTCACAATTTACAAGGGTGACATTGTGAGACACTGTCATTACTGTGGTATAAAAATCAAATATGCAATTTTATTTGAATGTGGTTTTCCCCACTTCTGTAAGTATAAATGGGAGCTTTTTATGGTCTTTTTGTGTTCCTCCATTATTTCAATACATGATAAAACTGTTAGGTGTTATTTAGGCTGTGATTCTGTCTGAAAGTCATCTTTGAGCTTCAGTAAAACTCCGTCCAACAACACATCTCAACACTGGAGTGAGGACACCTAAGTCTGTCTACAGCAAGTCTAGTAACTCTGGAGTCACTTTGAATGCCTCAAATGACTTATTTGGGCAGTTGTGAAGCATTATCTAAATGAACTATAATTTCAGTGTTCACTGGTACATGCTAATTACTTAAATAGAATCACCAGTTAAATCTGATAAAGAGCTCTTGAAAAGTTTGCAGACTTTGAACTAAATAAGGCCTTAAAAAACGTAAAATTTGTACTTATATCACCATCTTTGCTGCTGCAGAAGAGAGAATACATTCCAGTTCAAGATTCTTTCAGTGCTGTGTTTCTCTTATAATTTCCACAAGCCCCAAAGACCAGTATTCAAATGCATTGGTGTATTATGTCTGTGACAGTGGCAAGTCCTCGTTCACTCACTAGTTCACTCAACAAATAGGAATTATGAGTAAATAAAGTTGCTGAATATTTTTGTGGTAAACGTTGTTCATTGTGATCTTACTCAGCAGATGCACAGTCTAGCCTCTGGCTGCAAAAGGGGGGGATGGTGGAAGATGCCAGTAGTATAAACAAATTAAGCTGAACCACTGCCTTTTGATTTTAGATGTGTTGTTGCAAAGTTTGCAAGGTAATCTAAAGATGTTTGTTTATCCTTGTTTTCAATCATCCTGTTAACTCTCTGTGCAGCACATCAGCCCCATACTTTGTATTGTGACTATAGGCTACTGTGTCCCTATCAAATTAAAAAAAAAATTGAGTGGTTGATAAATTAAAATAGGCTAGAAATATCACCACATGCACAGTTAAGCACAGCAAGTTACTGCTGATCTCAGAAAGACAAAAAAAGTAAAAGTATTTTATATATGTCTAGCAGTGATGCTAGTTTTTTAAAGGTGAGAATAATATATGGAGACCAACACAAAATGAGTTTCCCCAGTATATGTTTCCTTGACAGAATCAAGAACCTTTCCGCCATAAAACGGGGCAGAAAATATTTAACTGCCGCATAAAAAACACACGAAAATGCAGGAAATGAAGTGCGCAAAAAATTCATGGGGGAGGATCTCCATAGCCACTAATTGCAATGTATCTTTTCCATTTCTCGAGTAAAACCTATGACCACGTGTAACTAAACTGAGAAGGATGGGAAACTGATTTTACGTGCTCGAAAAGAAGATTGTGACTAAAGAAACAAAGAAAGAATGAGTTTTGTTTCGGCTGTGGTTTATTCTCGCGAGATCACACCAGCACTCAAAGAAAACGAATTGTCATCGCGAGACTGCAGTGGTCCTCCCCTTTGTGATTCACGTACACGTTTACGTCTCATTTTTGGCATAGTTTCGTGGAGTGTGGGAGGCGCTGCGTGCCTCTTTGTGCGTAACTCAAGCAAAAGCAGTGAGGGGAATGTCGGCTTGTGAATGATCGGTGTTTGAGACGGCAGGGAGCGTCAACGTTATGGGTGAGAACGCTACAGGCAGCTAATGTCACAAATTTTTCAGAAAACATTGTTTTAAACTGTAACCGTGATGATTTCAGTTAACGGAATTCACTATTTAACATTTTGGCTTTCGCTTGGTTTAGCTTGTGTAGTTGTCTGAGCAACCAACGCCCAGTCGCCCGCCTCCAGTAGGATTGTAGCTAGCTAGTTGTTAGCCTCGGTTCGCGAGCAGGCTGCATAACCTAACGGGAGTGTCATTTCCTGTCTTAAGCTCTTCGACAAAGTCTCCCATTAAACGTTTCTATGTGTTTTATGTGCTAACACCTTAACCACCGGTCACTGTTTTTACAAAGCCTGTCTACAAATGTTAGTACTTTGTCTAATGAGCTAAGTTGGTGTCGTATTTCGGATTTAAACAGCTCACGTTAATGCTAAGTTGCATGCTTTCAACCTCAAGAAGCGTTGAGCTGTTGTGGTTTTCGGTTTAGCATTTTTTCTAAACGTGTGAAAGAATTAAGTAGCACTATGTAGAAAAGAGTGTGTGTCGCAGTCGCAAAGCCATAATTTTTAAAGCTCTTTTTAGCCAGGAATGGGTGCTGCATTAGTGCGTGATCAATAATTTGATCAAACTCCCATGATTGGAGTATCTGGGTTAGGCAGTCAAAGCCAACTCTGGGGGATGTGGCAAGTTAGGAGGGGGAGGAAGGCAATGCTGCCATCTAATCTGGATTAAAGTGGATCTAGTACCTCAGAGTTCATGTTTTGACTTTTAAGTTCATTAGCTTCAGACCGTGGCCTCTAAGTCAGAATGCTGTACCTGCTCCCCCACCCCCGTGTCGCTGTGTCAAACTGAAACACCAGATTTGGTGTTCTACGGAGCAGAGCTTTCTAAAATCTGCACAAGCAAACTTTAGCTTTCACCTGCCACCACTTCCTTTAGCAGCCCTATCACGAAATACCGGAAAGGAAACACACGGTTGTAGTTTTAAAATGTCGGTTCTCATATTTTCATACTTAAAAAAATGACCTGTTTGGTAATGCCTGTCTGCAAAACCTAATTTACAGTATTTCCAAAACTAAGGCAGTATGATACGGCTGAAATTAAATTGCATTTCTGGTAGGCAAATCAGCACATTATGTCTTGGTATCACACAAAAGACACGTGGGCTGCTGTTGGTGGGCAGGAGATGCTTTGGTGTAAGAAGCAGAAATACTCTTATAGCCACAGGCAAAAAGAAAAATCTGCAGCAGTTGGTGAAGCTTGCTTTATGGTGCTACTGACATTACAGGAGCAAAAACGGGCTTGTATTGCTTAGATCGTGAATTATTTTGCCTGCAGGCCTCACAACTAAAGAAGCTGATTCTGGAGACAGGATAGTTGGTTTGTCAGGTTGCCTGAGATTTCTAAATTATTTTTTTGTTTGTCTTCCTGTGCACTCCCCTGTGTTTCTTTGTGTCCCTGGAAATGTTGGCTCTTCCTGCACATGCTGGGATTTCATTACATCCATCAATGCCAAACAGCTGTAAGTATAAAAAATATGTTTCATGCCTGAAATGTAACTGGACTGCAGTATTTTTTTCAGCAGTCTTTTGTAGATAAGCTTCTCAGAATACAAACCAGAATGTGTGATGCTTGATATTGTTTTTCCTTTTTACTGTGGAAAACCAAAGACAAGTGACTGAACAAGACAGAACATTGACAAAAATAAACTATGGTGGTATTAACTTATGCTGGACATTATAAAGAAAATTTTTGTGGTATTTTCAGGGTGTGTCGTGGTATTATTTTAAATATTTTAGTGTAACTGGATCTTTATATAGTTTTAAAATGAAATTTTTTGTCAGACGTATATCCAATTAAAAACATTTTAAAAAGCCTACTCTTAAGTTTTGATTTTAAAGGAAATATTTCGCACAAGGCTCTAGAGTCATTCTGCCTGTTATACCTTTAACTTAGATGTAATGGCACCTTTTTGTTGCCGTTAAACAAATTCTGCCTCAAAAGCTACTTTGAATTAAACTCTTTTTGAACATAGTCTTCCAAACTTTGTTGCCCAAATGATTTTGCCTCCAGGTAGAAACACCAGTTAGCCTTGAATAGCACATTGTCTTTGCGTTGCCTGGTCTTCTGTCACTGTGTGAAATTTCAGCACAGAATCAGCATGACCAGAAAGGAAGCAAAACAGGTTCTTTCGTTTAAAACTTTAAACCTTCCCAACAGCAGACACGGCCCCTGTCTCCGGGCAGCTCTGCTCCCCTTTCTTTATCCTCCATCTGTCTGTATTGTTCTTAAACTCAGCAATGGAGCCCCTCCCAAATGCTACCTGGCTTGCTAACATTACCCAGCATGCCATTCATGGCAATTTTTATAGCTTTAGAGAGAGTTTTTTGTTTTAGAGTCTGTGTCATGCCCTGTTGACTAGAGTTAATTTTAGAGTATGTATTGTTGTTTTGTATTAAGGTATATGAGTTTTATGGTTCAAGCCATGAGCGATAAGGGTACACAGCTGATACACTAAACACACTCATTAGCTAGTGGCCAACAGTGTAATACATTTAAACGACTTTGAAAGCCCTTGTGGATGTTTAGTCTATTCACCAGTATGTAGGTATTTGAAATATTCATATCACGCATGAAATCACGGCTGATAAAGGGCCCAACATTGATGTGTATGTGTACAGCTCCATTCTGGGCTTAATGGTTTAAATTTATAACACATCTTGAATATTGTGGCTTCTGAATACTTTCAGTGTAAACTTAATCAGTTGCATAATAAAGATGTGAGAATATACTTTTTTCTTCTTAATCCAACACAGTGGAGAGTCCGTTTCAATTCAGGCAACATAGTTTGTTCATGACTTTTTGTTTTACACTTTAGAAAATTAGATTTCTTTGTGGTTTAATTTTTTTTTTTACTTTCTTACAGCAACAGAAGAACCTAGAAGGATATGTTGGCTTTGCAAGCCTCCCGAATCAAGTCTATAGGAAGTCGGTGAAGAGGGGCTTTGAGTTCACCCTGATGGTCGTGGGTAAGAACACACGCTGCTCGCCACTCAAGTTTTCCCTTGTTTTGTTTGAATCATTTCATTGTATTCTTTGCGGTTGGCATTTTAACATCCTTCACTGTGTGGTTTGTTTTAGAGAGAGAGAGAGAGAGAGAGACGGGTTTGTGTGTGTATACACAGCCATATTTATACACAAGGGACAGACCCCCAGCTTTGTAGTGTTAATTGCTGAGTCAAAGAGGAGGGGCGCAGATTGCATTCCTGTTCGAATTCATCTCGATGTCAGATCTTTGACACTGTCTCTCAGCAAAGAAGCATTTGGGTTGGAGTTATCTAAAAGTGCACTCAGCAAATCAGAAATGCAGACATTCTTTTACAGCGCTCGGATGTGGTGGTTGACGCTGTGCCAAGATCCTCCTTGGCTGATGAGGCCGTATTTGGAGGGACAGTGTATCCTAGGGTCAAAGCCATTTCCTGTGGTGGGACCAAGAGAATTCAAACCCAGCATGCATCTAAGTAAAGCCAGTAAAGAAAACTGTGCGTTGTTAATGCTACGAGAGTGACGTCTCTCGTTGCATTAACAATGCACAGTTTTCTTTACTGGCTTTAATTATTGCTGCTTATAAATGTTCAAACCTGTTAGTGAGCTGTCTCTTAAATGTTGTTATTAGATAGTTGAAGTAGAAGATCACTTTTGCTCCCCCCTCACTTCTATTGCTGTTGGATAGTGACCAAGTGGGCCTCTGGGGGCTGTGAATGCTTCGCTCTGTTTGTAACAAATATCTTCATTTTGGGGATAATTGCTGAAAAGATTAAACAAATGGCTTTGCAACAAGGAAAGAAGAGGAGGTCCTCTGGGCTTTCTGTTGCTTAAATGGTGGCTATTGTTTTTATGGTATCACCCGCTTTCACGGACACACTCACACTCAGCTTTTCTTGGCTCCAACTAGCTGCGAGCCCACATGTCCCTGCAGTGCTGTTCACATACAACGCAATGCGTCACCAGCGCGGTGTGATAGGAGTCAAGGATAAAAGATAAAGGGAAGCACAAGGAGAAATTGAGATGGCATCACCACCGGTGGCTGGCTGGCTGGCAAATCTCTGCATGCCTCATAAAATCACATGACCCAACAACCTGTTCAGCAGCTCATTTCACAGGCTTGTCAGGCATTCAGATCGCAGTTTCTCGCTCATGGTTGCGTACGGTGATAAAATGTACAACAAACCGATGACACAGTACGAGCTCCACACATTACCCTTTGCTTGTAGCTCTGGCATAAATGGTGGCTCGTTAAATATTGACTTATGGCCATCAGCAAAGTCGGGCAGTGCCAGTGGTCGTTTCCACTAATGATCCTTTTCTCTGGGAGCTTGGACACTGGACGCACAATGGAAAACCAAGCATGAGAAGTCTCCCGGACTCCACAGCCAGCCAGCTGCACATAACAAGAGCCATTGTTCATGTTGTTTTCTTAGCCTTTTAACTGGTAACCCAAATGGATCAATGTCTTGGGCAAATGTTACTTGCATCCCCAGTTAGACACATGGTCTTTTCTTGTGTGGAAGATGCCAGCAGTAGACTTTGTATAGCTGTATTACAAGTGATTTTAAACCTCTTATTCTGAGTGATACTGTGTCTCACAATCTCACTATGTTTTGTTTTGGGTTTTTTTTTTTTGTTTGTTTTTTTACAGGTGAATCTGGACTGGGCAAGTCCACATTGATCAACTCTCTGTTCCTAACAGACCTGTATTCAGCAGAGTATCCTGGACCATCAAACAGAATCAAAAAGACTGTGCAGGTACACACTGACAAAAATATCTCTTTTAAAATCAGTTAAACCTGCAACAGCATGTGCTGGGCTGAAATAATATCACTTTATCTTTAATCAATACAGGTGTTGTGGTATAAAAGTTTTTCTTTATCTGTCCTTGTGGCAGCAGACCTGAATCAGATGTTAAAGAAAATGTTCCACTGCAGATAATTTGAGTTTTTATTGTTTAAATATTGCAGTTATCATTGGGACCGCTATATCCAGAGAGGTACTGATAATAAACACGAGATTAAATTTAGATATTTTCATTCATTGTCCTATATGTGATAGACGTGGTAAAGCTGAAGGATCACTGTCAGACTCTGCTATTATTTAATACCAGGCAGCTTTTTGGGGGTGATGCATGTAACGTTTTTTTTCTAAACAAAATGGGATATTAAAATACTACACTAAAAAGTCTTAAAAGCCTGAATGTATGCCATGCAGATTGAGCAATTAAGAAAAAAAAAATATGGTTTTTACTATGGTGTTTGTCATCATGAAATGTATCTGAATATTGGAAGCTGGGGAGAGTCATGGGGTGTTGAAAAGGTTTTGTTATTTTTAAATTTTTCTCCCAGTTTGTGAAATTATTCTCACAATTGTTTGAACAAGTCAGACTTTCCGTCAGCTGACCACATGACTTCATGTTAATCTTCCTTGATTACAAAACACCATCCTAGATCCTAAAAGCCTAAAGTGCTGTGTGACTCTTGCTTCAAAGCCTTTCTGGTTTTTCAGAATAGTTATCAATAGCACAATATGTGAAGGCATGTTGCTACATGCTGCCCATTGCCAAATATTTTCTGTATGAGTTTTGAAATCTTAGATACACTTACCTTAACGTGACGATCATTTTACACCACTCCTTCCATACTGTGTTTTCATTACCTACTAAACAGGTTTGGTTTCAAAGGCGCAGTTTATGGGAGAAGTAAAACTTAGCATTCCTGTCATTCTTTCTTCGTTGACAGGTGGAGCAGTCGAAAGTTTTAATAAAGGAAGGCGGTGTCCAGCTGCTGCTTACAATAGTTGACACCCCAGGGTTTGGAGATGCTGTCGATAATAGTAATTGGTAAGGGTCACCACCACCTTCATTTGTAATCCTTAAAATATCAAAGCTACTCTCTGACATTCCTGCATCAGAAGAAGGGTGCAGCAGTTCCGCAGATTTCAAAAGTGGATTCAAGTGCTTTGTATGTTTGTCTTTTTGGCTCATTATTGTGAAAAATCCCATTATCTGCCAGAATCACATTAATAAATTTCACCTATTTAAACCACTTGATCAACTTTTTATTCTTAATATCTATTTCTCACTATGGGGAGGTGAAATATACACCTGAAAAACTTCTTCACACTTCTTTGACTTATATATAATGTAGAACATCAGATAATTGTAGTGACACATTTATCATGACAGACCAAAGACTCCAGAGTTGTTTTATAGACACACACTTGTTAAATATGATCCTTTAACTTCATTACATTTTGCCACATACAACTTGGACAGAACATGATAAAAGCTGGTCTGATGACCCTGTCATTTTGAAAATAACAAATGAGATAGAAGGGGGGAAAGAAAACAGTTCTTGGCAATTTCAGACTCCTAAAGTCCACTTATACCTGATTATACCTGTGTGATTATTTATAAAGAGCAATCTAATTGACCTATCTTAAAAAGTGATACATTCCTGCTGAAACAGCTTTTATCCAAGGAATAATCATAAAATGGTTTATGTGCACCTTTGTCACTCGAGTCCACTAGTGAAATGTTTCCCTGTTAAGAAACAAAGACCCAGCAATAACTTAACTGAAGCTGTAATTTGTATTACACAGCTGGCAGCCAGTCATCGACCACATTGACAGCAAATTCGAGGATTACCTCAACTCAGAATCTCGAGTGAATAGAAGGCAGATGCCCGACAGCCGAATCCACTGCTGCCTTTACTTCATTGCCCCTTCAGGACATGGGTGAGTCTAGGACACAGATTCCGTTAAAGACAACTGTTATCAAGAACCTCTTTTAACACTATACAATGCTACTACAAGCATATCCAGAGAGAATTAACCTCTTAAACTGCCACATGATTGTTGGGTTTGAAGTTAGCGGATGAAAAGCATTGGACTGGAAAAGGGAAAAGGTAGTAAGGGGAAGGGTGAACAGTGAGAGGAAATAGTGTAAGGAGGGAAATGAAGGGTCAGTAGTGCCTCAAAGGTCAGTGAAGCAGGGTTGTGAGTGGAAGAAAAGGTTGCTGGTTGAGATCATTGTGCAGCCTGGAAAATTCAGAGAACGGTCGGTAGTGTAGCATTTCCTCCCTGAGCATTTTCACTTAATATGGCTTTCACGGAGGTGCTAGATGTGCGTACTGCTTCTGAAACTAACAGCATTGAGCGGTAGTCATGTTGGACTGCTTAAATTTCTGCAGTAAATTCATATCTTGACATTATTTTTCTCCTACAACTAGACTCCCCCACCCCCAGCTGTTGTTGTGAGTGATAATGTGAGACTGAGTCAGCCTGACTTGCAAAATAAGGGTTAAAAGTGGGCCTGTTAAAAGGAGAAATAAGTGTGTGGGGGTTCTAAGCAATACTGAGACGCTGGCTCAATGCCCGGCAGATGATACTGATGACAAAAAGATGACTGTGGAATTTTAATTATAATGTTTATCATTCATAAGCTACCATGTCTTCTATAACAGGCTGGTGTGCTCATATGGCCTTTTTTCTATGTGTGTCTACGTGTCATGGATGATGCATGTTGGTTAAAGATGAGAAAGTGTGAGAGTAGTGAACGTGAGAAACTCTAGTGGTTATTTCCTGCCCTCGGGGGGGAACAAGATAAAAACCTCTTAAAAATGTATTTAAATGCACGAGTTGGTTTTATTCCTTTTAAAGTGAATGGTTGCTCTCTGTCACATCTGTTGACCTTATTGTGTCTGCTGTGTGGCTTTGCAGATTTCATTAATATGCAAATATCGCTGCTTACTCACATGCCTTTCAATCTGCTGATCATGACCTACTGTAAACTGTGAACCAGGCTCTGTCCTCCTTTGTGTCCTCGTCTGCTTTCTGTGAGACATTGTGTTTGTACAAGCCCGCGATCTGTACTCACACAAGCTTTACTTTTATCCTTGAGGATGGGCAGCGTATGCTCTGGCATAAACACAACTGCACACTCACAGAGCACCCCTTCATAACAGAGCTGACTGCTCTCACACAGCCGCACAATGACCTCCAACATTGTGATATGCTCTGGCATTCACAACCCCCGCAGCTAAACCCTGGTTTTCCTTTGGGGTTTGAGGGGCTGATGTGACGTCAAGGTTATCTGCAGGTCTAGAAAAGTCTCATAAATCACTCAATTCAGTTCAAGACTTCAAAGTATTGCAAGATTAGCATCCAGGAAGACTTTATTTAAAATACAAGGGAAACTTGAGTGGTTGTGGATTTTGCTGTAGGATGCTATTGATTTTTTTTTTTTTTTTTTGCAGCTATTAGATTTTTAGCAAGCAGTGTTACAGAGTGGGTACAAAGTAACTAAATATAGGAAGAAAACAAGCACAGCAGATGTCAGATGACATAAAAGTGACTCACTGTAATAGTGTATAAAGTGATGTGGACAGTGCAGGGTTTAAGTTAACAGCAGAGTCTCTTCTGTGGTGTGTACTGTAGGTGCGAACAGTTTCCTGCCATTGTGGTAGTAAAGCAGAATCGCTCTCTTTAACAAAGTGCAAAGTGTAATTTGTACCAAGGGTGGTCGGTCAATGATGAATAGCAGTTAATATAATGGTAACATTTCCATCCTTCAATTTTTACCACAATTTTTTTTGGATCCAAATTACACTAATGCATGAATTATGTATAATATTAAATCTAGGTCATATTATCAATATTAATTTACATGATACCTTTACATAATTGGGTCAGTATATTTAAATCCTTTCCTGCATCATTGGTGACGTGTGTGGCGTAGCAGTTAGTGCTGGGGCCTTTCTGTGTGGAGCTTGCCGGTTTTTTCCCTGTGGCGCGTGTGCGGGCAGAGTGGTTTCCTCCATAAATCCAAAGACATACATTTTAGGTTAACTGGCGATTCTAAATTGTCCCTGGATGTGAGCTGGATAGAGTGACAGAATAATGTGCTTTTCAATATGTAGTTAAAAATGCGTCTTGTAGTCTGAAGAACCTTGAGTGGTCGGTAAGACTAGAAAAGCACTTTATAAATGCGAGTACATTACATTATTAACATAAAACTGAATTTTTTTTCCCGTCCATCTGTTTTTCTTTTGGATAGTTTTAGGGAAACACTAACTGGCTACATATTTGTATTGGCTGACATTTGCATAAGTTGACATGTTTTCTTTTATCTGATTGGCTGTTTGTTTTGTCAGACTGATTTTGTGCAAGCTAAATGCTTATTTTTTTAAGATAAGGTCTCCCTGGAAATGATTCAGAATAAATTAACTAAAAAATTGCAAAAACTTAAAGGATATTAGCATTAGGATTTATACATCTGTAAAGTCCCAGAATCGCACAAAGAACGCATCCTGAATTATAGTCATGCCTTAATTTTTCTTCAGAGACATGAATGACAAATATTGGGTTAAAAAATACTTTTATCAGCACAGCACAAGATCAGTTATTCTGGTCTTATTTGAGCTCTTGATTATTTAACACGATTTAACCCTGATGTTTAGAAGAATTATATGGCTTTTGAAATGTATTCATTAAAATGAACTTATTTCAATACCAGTTTTGCTAATGCTGTACCACTTATGATTTCCTTTCTCCCTCCCTTTCTTTGATAAAATATGTAACAATATTTGTACAAGACAGTGTGGGAAATATGTCTGTCTGGGTTCCACATTATTTTCTTCTCAGTAAAGAGATAAATCTGGGACACGTTTAGCTTAGCCAGACTGGTGTTAAATCACAGAGGGCGTTGATGGACTGAAATTCCTGTGGTTATTTTGTGTGGAGTCAAAGTTGGGGAAACTCCACACCTTCTGACCCTGTTTTCAGGAATTTAATGCGTGATTTCTGTGATCTTTGTGTGAAGTCGCTAAATTATCACTCAGCATGTGCCAATAAACTGTCTGCATTGTTTAATGTATTATCAAAGTCCAGATTACCTGTGTGTTTTCACCCATACGAACTTCCTTTATGAAATGGACTCAATTAAGTAGCTTTTCATTGCTGCATTGCAGATTGTCTCAAAGAGTTTAAGAGCAGCACTGTGTTGTATACAAGCCTGCATAACCACATGATATCAGTCTTCTCTTAAAGCATCATATTCTATTTCAAGGCACATTTAGACTTTAACCTCAAAGAATCAATAGAAGACATGATTGTGTTTGATAATAAAATACAAAGTGAAATCCAAAGGTACTGGGGTATTTCTCCAGCTCATAAACAACCAAAAATAGCAATGCCTCCCCATGACTGAGAGGTCATATTCCCAGATATTACAAACATAAGGTGTAAAGGAGTTCTATATTTAGTTTAGCTCAACTTATCTAGTCTACAAAAGAGCCGATCAAGAAGCCGTAGTCAAAAACCAGTCTGCCCTCAACTATCCTAGTAGCTTCTAAATATAGCGAGGAGTACACACAACAGTAGTTTGGCAGTTTATTTTATGCTTTAATGTGCTGCACTGAGTCATTGTGTCTGTAAACGTCTGGCATTATTTCAATGAAATGTAAAGCTGTATTTTGATCTCTGCAGACTGAAGCCCCTCGACATCGAGTTTATGAAACGGTTGCATGAGAAAGTGAATGTGATACCCCTCATCGCTAAAGCAGACACTCTCACCCCTGAGGAATGCCAGCAGTTTAAGAAGCAGGTCAGTGGTTTCCACAGCTGCAAAGTCCTGCAGAACAACTATGTCAGAGGCTCCTTTATTTATTTATTTTAAATTCCCTTGTGGTCATTGGCATGACTGATGCCGAATGATAATAGAGTAGAAAACACCATGTTTGGTGTTGCATTTGTCAGTGAATACAAAAACAAGGTGGTATTGCAGAGAGCTAAATTTAGCACTGCGTTGCTATGTAGTGTCCTGAGCATGGTGGTAGTAGGTCTACACAACCTTTGTGTGTGTGTGTGTATATATGTGTTTTAAGGTTCTTTTTCCTTTTTGTTAAAAAAATGTCATCAATCCGCCGTAAGATCAGTCTTCTGTTTTGGCCAACATTGTAAACTTAACTTTGTGTTACAAATGTAGCTGGTGTCAAAGACAACTTAACACTCACCTGGTTGGAATTCCCCCCCCCCCACAAAATGTTACAGTTACCAATATAAACCGTCCTCTGAACAGACACATTACAAATGACACCCTGACGTTGTACCTCTTGTTAAGTCATTCTGACAGACAAGAAAATGGTTAAATGGCCTTTTTTCCTCCTGATAGATCATGAGGGAAATCCAGGAACATAAAATAAAGATTTATGAGTTTCCTGAGACGGATGACGAGGAGGAAAACAGATTGGTCAAAAAAATAAAAGTAAGTGGCTTCTAGTGTGTTGTAACCACAGGTTCATCTACTTGAAATACTTAAACAAAAAAAAATCATTGAGGGTAAATGCTTTGTTTTTTGCTAGGACAAGTTGCCACTAGCTGTGGTAGGCAGCAACACCATCATCGAAGTGAACGGCAAGAGAGTTAGAGGGAGACAGTACCCCTGGGGGGTTGCAGAAGGTAAGAGACAGAATGTGTAATAAATGCATCTAAGCAAATGAAGAGTCTTATGATCGGACAGAGTTCCTAGAAACATGTGCATGCATGTTTCTCTGTTTATTGGATTAGACTGCAACTGTTACTTGAGTCTAAGCTACAAACAAGATTATGTAAAAAAAATTTATCCTGATAACTGACTGATGTCTTACTTTTCATTACAGTTGAAAACAGTGACCACTGCGACTTCACCATCCTCAGGGATATGCTCATCAGGTACTGAAGAATAAAAAAGACCTCATAATATAACCCTTGTTTCCTACACATAGACCTTATTACATCACTCATTAGTGCATTGCTTTGGTGTTTTTAAATTTTCATAATCTAAAAAAACCCCAAATATTCTTTTTCAAAGAACACAATCAGTGACTGGACAACCAGCCCGGTCTTATTTTGAAAGTTTTGTTCTGGCCTGTCCCATCTCATGTTTCCCTTGCCAGGCACACTGGTGTAATATCAGTTTCACTTAGTTGCTTTCGCAGAGAGAATCTTGTCTCACACTGGTACGGGGTTAACCCGGGGTTCAGATAGTTAATGTATCATTTTTCCACCATTACCTGTTTTTGTAATTTTGTTTTGAATTTTTGATTGACTAGATGGTTTTCGTGTTTACTTCAGTTTTTAAAGATCTATTTTTAATTGTTTGTAGTGGGGGTTTTTTTGTTATTGTTTTTTTTAAGTAGTGGTTTAAAATGTTAAAAGTTCCCAGTCTCGTTAAACACCTGCACAAAAGTCTCTCCAGGGTATTTCACCACAGTGACTAAGACTGTAACTAAAGACATTTCCTGAGGCCCTATATCACTTAAGTTGGTTTTTGTGTTCCTCTATAACCTTTTTTTTTTTTTTTTTTTTTTTTTTTTTCATTTAACATTTAAGGTTTAGTTGGATATAAAAAAAATTGGGTCCAGCCTACCAGTTTAGACTGCAGCTAATGTATGTACATACAATGTATGTCCCCTTTCTGCTCTGGTGATCTTCTGCATCACCAGCTGCAGTTTAAGCCAGTTCATCCTCAACTGATAATGTTGCACGTTTTTCAAAGTAACTACGATTATCATTAAGAACATTTAAAAAAAAATAGTATAACTCGAAGCGCAGTTAAAGTATATATGTTCTTCTTTTTTCACCCCAGAACTCACATGCAGGACCTGAAAGACGTGACAAACAATGTCCATTATGAAAACTATCGCAGCAGGAAGCTGGCCGCTGTCACCTACAATGGAGTGGACAACAACAAGGCTAAAGGACAGCTATCCACCAAGTAAGTCCTAGACAAAAGGCACTAGACACATCAATTGTAGCTAAAGGGGTTGAGGTTACCTCTGCTGTTAAACTGCCCGAGTAACAGCTGCGTTTTTCAACCTAAATTTTAAAGCCTTCTGGATTTAGTATCACATATAATGAAGCTAATGCATAGCACTGAAGGAAGGGTATACCAGAAAGCATTGTATGTTTAGAGCACACACAGTGTAGATAGTGTATTTTAATTAAGTTAATAGAATCAAGTTGATTTCTGCTGACTCTGATGTTGCAGAATGTGTTGCAGTTTTGTGTTGAACCCATTTCATGCATACTTTTTGATATTTCATGTGTTTTGGACTTTACATAAGCTTAATTTTTCAAATTTGCATGTGTTAACTTAAGTGGAATAGATTTCTGAAAGCAGTGGGATGAACATTTGCCACATAGGAGACTGCAGATGGCTGTGTTATCACATTATGTAATCATATCCTTATTTTATTTAAGTATATTGGTTCCAGGCAACAGGGAAAGACAAAGCTGGAGGATGACTTCTTTCACTGAACCTTGTGATCGCGATTTGTGAAAAATACTGATGTGTTGTTGTTGTTTTTTAATTGTAGTTTATCACTCTACTAATTTTCCACTGATTTCAAGCTTGGATTCAAAACACAATGATTAATTGTCATTAATACATTCATAAGCAAATGGCTAACACACACTGCTAAAACTCTAGCTCCATGTTGCTGATGCTAACACACAGCTAAACATTTGACCGACGGCTGAGTGTGTCTGACACGCAGCTCACAAAGCTGACACTTGTTTTTTCCACACTTGTTTTTCCATTTTGCAGTGAAAAATAGCTTCAGTCACAAACTAATAAGTGTTGTTTTATTTTAGTGCATGATCTCATCATTGCATGCTTTGTGTGTGTGTGTTTGTGTCTGTCTGTGTCTGTGTGTTTGGTTGTGTTTTTGTTTTGTTTTTTTTAGACTTGAAACAGTTGATGGAATGTAAGTCAATTTTTTTTTCAGTATTTTTGAGACCTATAACATCTTCATCTTCACATCCTTCCTCTCCTCTCCTCTTTGGCTGTATTTGGGTGGTTTCTATCCCCCTTGTTGACTTTGGTCTGCCCCCGCCTACTTTTTCCATAGTAAAGGTTTTGAGGAGGAAAACTGTGAACGGTCTCACCTCCTGGTCACCATAGTTTACCAACCAGGACTGTGATGCTTTCAATTTTTCCAATCGACAATTTTTCCACTTCTATATAGTCACTGCTGCCTCCACCTGCTGCTGCTGCTTGGATTAGCAGCAGAGACCTGCGCATGAGATGTTTTAAGCGGTTACCAGTACTGGGCAATATATCACTTTTAGAAAAAAAAAATATAGACATAGAATAAAACAGTATCTTTCTCATAGATATAATTTAAGTTGTGCTGTATGAAGAATTTGTCCAGCAAAGCCATACTAGTGTTTGCAGGTCTTGTTTCCACTGCAGTCTCCAACTCCAACCTCTCCACTCTCCCTCTGCATCTACAGTTTGCAGAACTGTAGATGCAGAAAGTTCACTTTCTGCATGGAAGGAAGTGATGCCAGTCCAAAAATGCATGTTAGTTTAGAGATTTAACTGACATTAGCAACTTAAGCAATTATTTTTACTTATTTAATACTTTTAGAAGACAGAAATAAAGGTTTACACTGCACAATTGTTGTAAATATTAGCAATTTAACTACAAATTTTAATTTTAGTAAAAAAAATAAAGGTTAGTACGATAACACCAGCAAACTGTTGTTTATTCTCCCGATAAAAATTGCACATATTCACCTTAGTTTTATCATCCGTACTCCACCTTAAGTGACCCTACAGTTTGAAAACCTCTGGTGTACTAGATAAACGGGCATTACACTTCCTCTGTAACACATAAAACTGGCTACACCAGATATGAAAATAGTCTGACTGGTGCATGTGTGTCACTCTGCAAACATAAATCTGGAACACTTATTGTTCTGTCGCAAAAATGTTTTATTGTGTGCCTATTTATTTAAATATATTAGCAGAATAGTATGCAGACAGTAACAGACATCTGCATTTATTCTCACAGTACCAGCCGGCAGATGCTTTGTAACTGTAGGCAGTCTACCTCAGCCCACAGATGTTCGTGTTGGGTGTTTAGCTTTTAGTCCACATAAGCTGGTGGAGTGTAACAGTTTCACTTCCTTGTTGGAAAGGACAGTCTGACAGCAGGTGAAGCTTTGAAAATGTTCTAATTATAGCGTGCTCTTGAAATGAGGCAGACAGGTATGCGAAACAAAAATATCTCTGGCAGCCTGTTGCCTTTCTTTACGAGTAGTCTACTTTGAAAATCTGAGACTGAAGAAGTCACTTGGATGAGTGACGAAACGTTTCTCCCACAAAACGCTGCGTCCAGATGAACAGAATCAACTTTTTGGAGATACTTTGAAAATCCATCTATCACCTGACCAGAATTATAAAACCTGACTCATTCAATCAGCCTAGCATTTTAAAGTTTGTCAAAACCGGACTTATGTCTAAGTTATGTTGATTTGTGTTAGGCGGCATGCATGATGACTAAATATAGAAAGTATCAGGCTTAAAGAGTTGAGAAAACCATTTCTATTAAGATTTAAAGTTTTAAAGACTTTTAACTCTCCAAACTAATCTGCTTCAGCAGGACTGGGGAAAAAAAAACATATTTACATGAATATGTTCATTAAAGCCCCTTTTCCATTAGTACCTACTCTGATCGGCTTGGCTCGGCTCTGATCGACTGGTTTTCTTGAGTAGCACCTAATGTGTGTGGTTGTCATCATAGAAACAAGGCCCTGCATCCTGTTACATAATTAGTATGTGACACAAATGCTACAGCGAAGGTGGACGTTGATGCAACAATATACCTGCTGCCCCTTTTTTAAATAAGTAAATTCAAATTAAGAAAAATGTGAAAATAACTTGTGCCAGCTGAGAGCTGATGATTTCAAAAACACCAAAGCTTCTCCTGCTGCCGTGTGAAAATACTTTTTAAATGAAGAATATTAAAAACGTGAAGAAGCAAGAACCTAGCATCCACTAGCACACGTTTTGTGTGTGTGTGGAGGGGGGGGTGTATTTGTTTTCCCCCTTCAGATTTGTTTAGCCTCCCTGGGAAAAACAACACTTAAACATAGAAAATGTTTACAAAAATGACAAAAAAAAAAAATCGGGCGTCTCTCCAGTTGTCATTCCCACAAGCTACATTCCTCGTAAGCTCAGGTAACCGCTCCACATTCTTCATGACAGGTCTCTGTTCACTTACACTGCAACAAACCAGCCTGGTGAGCTTTACTAATGTTAATCCACCTCCACTCGCTGTCAGTGGTCACAGGTTCCTTGCATTAACTTTTGGATCCCTCCTCTGGTTCCCAAAATTGGTTTGTGGTTGCTTTCATGTTCTTGTCGCAGCCTGGGATCCTCCATTCCTAAATCTTCACCTGTGCCTCTATTTTTCTCCCTCCTGTTGTTTTTGTTTGGAAAAAAGGGAATAATACTGTAACGAGATTTCCTTGTAGTTATGAAAATGTGCTGTATAGATTTATTGTTTCTGTGAGCTCAGCAGATGACAAATTTAGTTCTAATAAAATTACTTTTAAGGTTTGATCCAAACTGATGCATCTCATGGTTACATTTCAAGCATTGTCCTGCTTCTCTCTCTGTGATGTTCCAGCCTGCATGCAGTAGTATCTGGAGGAAAGGAAATGCTGAAATGAGACTTTAATTTGCAGACAAAACTGACTAAAAAAGCTCACATAATTAAGTCATTCTACTGATTAGAAACATTAGTAATACTGAATATACTGATAAGTAGGATGATGCTAGTCACATTCTGTAGTTCACGTCTAAATTTCTGTTTGTGCATGTTTTCGCGTGCTTCCTGTACAGGAGTCCTCTGGCCCAGATGGAGGAAGAGAGACGAGAGCATGTGGCTAAGATGAAGAAGATGGAGATGGAGATGGAGCAGGTTTTCGAGATGAAAGTCAAGGAAAAAGTGCAGAAGCTCAAAGACTCTGAAGCAGAGGTAAAACACACAGGCTAATGAATTCTGCAATTCATGCAGCAGTGAAGTTGCCTGTCTGGGCTCCTTCCTTCCTCTTATGCTGACGTGTTTCAGCGGTTAGACGTGTGAGGGGAACTATAAGAGCGCGCGCTGTTGATTTTGTGCACATGAACGTTGCTCTTTTGCACACAGGTTTTATTCCTACGTCTCCCAAAACAATGTTTAGAAAGCAGATGTTTGAATGTTTGAAGAGATAATAGCCTTCACATCCAGTTTAATACAAGCTGCTACTGACAGGAGACTGGCTCCAGATAGTTATAAAACTGTTATTAGACCAAATGTTATTAAAATATACCAATTCTGTCTTTGAGTCATCCTCAAAACTTAGTGAGCTCATAATGTTAATAAAGTAGATAATATTTTACCAGTGTAGACAAATGTTTATTTTCCTTCATTTCATATCTCTGACAGTACGTATTGAGACTTGGATTCAGTTCTTAAGTCTACTCTCTCTCCTGCATTTCTCTAAAGTCTTTATTAGCTCAAAGTTCTCCATGAACAGCTCAGTTTCACCAAAATGTAAATGCAACGCCCTCTATAGCACGGGCTATAAGTCATGTTTTAAAAGATGTGTCCCGTTTGCGGTTTATATGTGAAATGCAAACACCGACTGGTGTTGATGTAGCACTTGTCGTCTCATTAATACAACACCAGTGGTTATTTGAGAATTTGCTCAGTTGAGAGGATGTCAGTCAATCCTTCATCCAGCCTCTGTCTCACTGAAGTCCTCAGTGATCAGTTCCTGTGATACCTTACAGACCTGAACATTTGTCCCATCAGAGCACTTCGCTCTTAAAATGCAGACTTACTTGTGGTTCCTAAAGTTTCTAAAAGGTCTACTAAAAGCCAGCACCTTCAGGTATCAGGTGGAACCAGCTCCTAGTTTGGAACTTCCTGTGATACACTGAGAACCTCCCCTCCTCTTCCTTCTCTTTACTACTGTGGCTTTGTGTCTCGTCCTTTTTACTCTTCTCTTTCACCCTTCCACCCCAAATAGCTTTGGGAGATCTTCCACCGCTGTTGTTAAGTGCTGCTCTTTACCTTTAAAATTTAAATCACCATGCAGTGACTGGTGTTGGGAATTGGTGCTTTATAAATATATAAATATAAAAACTTTAATTAAATAGCAGAGTGTAGTCTGAGGCTACATCCCTAGTTGATATCTTAAAAGTATTTAAATTACATCACTTTTTTGTGTTAGATTAAATATTCTACATAATTAATCTGTCACTGTAATTTAAATAGAAGTTGAAGTCAAAGTTATAAAAAAACCTTCAGACTAATAAAAATTTAATTGAGCTTCTGATGATTTTCAGGATCATTCGCTGTCCAATTTCCCTCGAGGTTAAAGTTTCAGCTCATTTCTTTCTCTCTTTAATCAGCTGTGTTTTTCTCTCCTGTGAGTGTTAAGCTGCCACTAAACTGAAATTTAGCCATAAGCTCGAAAACATTAAGAATTAAAATATAAAAACGTGGTCTCACTTTGACACTATGATTGTCTCTTTATAGGATTATTCATTCTCCTTCTGTGTAACTGAGCCTGTATCAGGAACACAGATAAAGTGGCAGTTCACATTTCTGTGTGTGCGCAGCACTCGGCTTATTTCCTGCATGTGTGCCACTGCCTTCAGTCCAAAGTGCTTACAGCGTCCTCTGTTCTGTTATTAGCTTCAACGGCGTCATGAACAAATGAAAAAAAACCTGGATGCTCAGCACAAGGAGTTGGAAGACAAGAGACGCGTGTTCGAGGAAGAAAGGGCAAACTGGGAGACCCACCAGCGCCTGCAACAGCAGCAGATGGAGGCCACCAGGTACAGCACACACACCGGGGCTCAGATCGTATATATGCATCATCATAGTCACACCCTGTGGTTCAGCTTTATGCAAAGTTTGTGCATGCATCACACATTGCAGGGTTGGGGAATAAATAGATTAGTGGGTTATGTCTTTTCATTTTCTTAGATTCTGCATTACAGTGCATGCTGTTTATTTTTCAGACTACCAGCTCTCTAAATACTTGATTGGATTCAGCCTTTATGCTGTGTGTGTTTATCAGGAAGTGTGTCAGCTTCAGGGCCAAACAACAAAACGGAAGCAAACCATCTAACAGGAGCATAAAAATGCATGTAAAAAAGTTGCAGCAGTGTTTTTTTGCTTCAGTGAAATGTGGTGTAGTGAGTGAGATTGTTGTATGAATGTAAATTTTTTTTGTGCCATTTAGGGTATTTAGCAGGGTTGCACTCTATGGTATTTTTGGCTGAGGGTAGATGCAGTCCACTGTGTTGTAAACACAGTGGACTTGGAGGCAGCTTCCTATGTCTTAACTTCATTTCTAATGAAGTTTAACTACTTAACCTAAAGACCACACAAAAAAGGTATTCTCGCTCTGTAATAAATTCATGTGCACATGTGGCTGTCTGCTGCTGTGTTTGTGCTGTTAGTCCTTTTACTTTGCAACAGCAAAAAAGAAAAAAACAGAAGTCATAATGTTGAAAGAACTTCTGTGTAGATGAATGAAACTCGTCAATGTTTATTTGATCCTAGTTGTTTTCGTTCTTCTTCCTCTTCACGGTGAGCTCGACTGTGGTTGTTTCAGTCCCTGGACATGGACTGCATGTTAATGGATCACTGTAGTCTTCACAGTGGCCAAATTTCCATTATAATCCTCTAAACAGAAGACTATGGACCCATGCAAGACCACACCCTTAAAATGACACATCAGTAAAAAGGCAATAAGTACAAAAACGATTGTTGACAATGTTTCACAACATTGAAAAAAATAGCATAACACTTAGGATTTTTGAGAAGGTACCAACAGTATCATGTATGGTCAATAATTTTGTTAAGTGGTAGCTTAAAAAAAAAAAAGCAGCTAAAGACTAAGGCTGGGTGATATGGCCCAAAATTCATATCGCGATATAATTTGAAGCATGTGCAGTAACGATATATATCACGATATATTCTTTTCTTCTGTATAACGTATTTTCCACACTATAAGGCACACTTAAAATCCTTTCTCAAAAATCGAGAGTGTGCCTTATGTATGAATTCTGGTTGTGCTTACTGACCTCGAATCAATTTTGGCGTGCAAAAATCTGTATAAATTTTTTTTTAGTACAACTTTGGTAAGCTGCACTGCTTGATGGATTGTCAGAGCATTACGGCTGCCGTAGTGAGGAGCTTCACGGAGTAATCTGGGTCCATTCAGTGTTGCCAACTTAGCGACTTTGTCGCTATATTCAGCAGCAGACAGCCACATGTGCACATGAATTTATTACAGAGCGAGAAAACCTTTATAAAAAAAGACAAGCGTATTGCTTTTACTCTCAACAAGCAGCGGGTGCTGTAACGCAGTCAGTTCTTCTTTTACTCTTTTACTCTTATGCTGTTTTGTGGATCACAAGGTTTAAAACTATCTTATCTCACTATTCTTGGGTACAACTATATAGATACAGGACACTCACGACACAAAGTAGCCTAAATATTCGAATGCTTCACTTTCTGCGGTCCAAGCCCAGGCTAAAGGAGCAGGGTTTGGAATTGTGACATTAAAAATGAATCAATAATCTGCTAAATCAGAATTTAATTTGTAGTTCTCGAAATAATACTTATGCAATTTAAGTACCTTGACAGTCGTCTGTGTCAAGGTAACTATGCATTTACTCACTTTATGTATCTTCCACGATGTTATTTCTCTCTCAACAACATAGGTTACAATTATGCAAATTGGGCGGTGACGTCATTTAGCGACTTCTAGCGACTTTTAGGACAACCAATAGCGATTTTCCTTACTGAGGAGTTGGCAACACTGGGTCCATTACTCCGTTTACTTCAGATCCCAAAGTCAAACCGGTCTAAATTCTTTCATCTTTAATAAATCATCAGCGTTGCTGCTTTATCGGGTGTAACAATTAAGTTTAACATCCAGGCATCCATGAAAACAGAATTTATTAAATTTAACGGAGTTAAAAGTTAACAGGAAGTTAGCTCGCTAGTTTACACCTAAACATTTTATACCATGTTCTGACTGAGAGATTTTTGAAACTAATTAAAACGAACAGCTCAGCTACCACTTCCAACATAAATGAAGACAGGAAACTAAACAGCAGTGGCGTTTGCAGGGTTACTGAAGTTGGACTACTGGTATATAATGATGTGCTACGTGATTGCTAGCGACACAGCTATGTTAGCATAACATTAGCACAGTAAAGCTGGAGGATGAACGCCAAGTGTTGTTTTTTTTCTCCACTCGATAAAATTTAACGTGAGGGATTCTGGTGGTCAGGGACAAATGCAATCGCATAGCAGGATGCTATACACGGGCCAAACTTCAGTCAGGAGAACAACTGAGATTATTCATCCACAATACGAGGTTAGTTATTAATATACTGCAACAACATGGGAATAGAGCAGCAGCGAGAGAATTCAACATTAATGAATCAATGTTACGGAAGTGGAGGAAGCGCAGTTTTTGGCCTTCCCCATATTTCAAAAGTGCTTCATCTCTTTGCTATGACTGTCGCCCGGCATAATTTGCAGATGATAATGGTTTTAGCCGCTGTTATGCTTTCGACCAAAACAGGCGCGGCTCGATGACGTCATCAACATGCGCTATCGCGATAGAGCGATATAGTCAAAATCTCTATCGTTGGCCAAATTTATATCGCCCACCCCCACTAAAGACTGTTTATTCTGCCAAAAATGAAAATGGACTTTAGCCAGCTGAACCAGCTAAAGGTTCTCATTCTTCTAAACCAGGGGTTGATTTTCCCAAGGGGCCACCAGTGCAAGTTTATCAAGGGATAAAATTAATATTGAGTAGAACTGAGTTCAGGCGCTCAACATTCCCAGTTTCTCATGTAGCTCTTTGGGAAAACTAACTGCCCACTCCTGCTCTAAACCAGGCTTTGAGCTTCGAGCTTGTATATTATTTGATGATTTTACTCGAAATGTGATTTGGATAAATTGGGCAAGGGAGGTGAGTCAGTTGTGATATGAATGGGTTTATTGTTTCTTCTTTATCGGCTCACATCACAGCAGACAGAACCTCCGTCAGAGCGTCAAGAACTTTGAACAGTGTTGTTAAAGATTCAGCAATCATCAAATGAAGTGGTGTTTGTTGTTTTACACAGTTATAACCTACATATATAAATAAACATGAAGTGTTTGAAGGACAAGTGTCACTGACTTTTCCCCTCTTCTTCAGGACCCTGGAGAAAAACAAAAAGAAAGGCAAGATCTTTTAAGGACAGTCGGCAGGACCACCGCCACTCGAGAAATTTATGTTTGCCAATGTTGCCAGTCAGGACACCAGTGTGTGGCTCTGATGTTACCCCACCTCCTCCCAATCTTCCTCTATCCTCCCCTCTTCTCCCCGCTCTCCTCCCCCTCTTCTTCTGTCCCTGCTCTGTCTGCCAGCACAGCTGTGCTCCTGCTCCCAGCTGCTAGAGGGCGCACTGGGGGCATTTGTGGGTGTGTGAGGGGGCCTGGGGGGGGTCTGCATGTAAGGCCAGAACAGCCTCTGCAGAGCCCCCTGGCTGCCTAAGAACAGCCATTATCTTCTTCATCATCCTCAAGGAATGTTTACTTTCCATATTATTTTAATTATTATTATTATTATTGTTGATGTTATTATTGTTATACTAAATACTGTTCTCCACCCCCAAATCGGCTGCTTTCTTTCTTCCCAAGGTTGCTTTTAAATGACTGGTGTGTGTAGATTTATCATTTACCGGGGCCGCGCCAATGTTTATCTTTTGCTTTAATTTTGTGCTGAATAAATCGTTAGAGAATGATAATGAAATGCTGAATATGGAATATATACCAATAATCTTTATAAATGGCGGCCAAATTTCCCCAACCTTTAAACATCTGTGTTGGCCCGCAGTTTCACAATCGGTTCATCCCTACAAATACCCACAAGTACAATCAGTTTCTGTTGAAATGCTTGTTTACAGGAAAAGTTAAAGTATATGAACATTTAACCTGACCTTCAAATGTGTATCAAAGTAAGAAAAGGACAAGGCATTAACGAATCCTTTGTTTTGTTTTGGTTTTGGGTGTACCTGTTAAACCTGTAACCCTCGTCCCATCAGCGCAGCAGGCTAGAACGAAACACTGTCGGTAGAAAACACGAGAAAATGCACCTTGGGCCTTTTTATAGATAACAAAAAATGGCTAAAGCTTCTTTTTTTTTTTTTCCTGAAATATAACGCTTTCTTTTTCTTGTGTGTTTAGCTATGTTCACTAGCCTCGGACCACCATTTATATTGTCATAAGTGTTACATTTCACTTTAGTTTATTTTTATATATACCGAGCCAGCTGAAGTAATAACTTCTTTTGTATGTTTAGAAAAATCCTCAGAGACTTGACAGCTGCGTGTCCACTGTTAAAGAAAAACACTTCCAAATATTAACAGTGATTCTGGACACATTGAAAAAAATAAAATAAAAACAGCCCACATGTTATTTCAGTTACTCTGCGGAAACCATCAGTGGGAAATGAAGAGTCAACACCACATTTTGCTTTGGCTATGTACTCCATCTCTGTATTTTTAATTTTATTTTTCATTTGTAATGTACAAAGTCACTTAATAAACCTGTGATATTGAAGAGTAAGATGGATTTATTATGAGAAAACGTGCTCATTATGAAGTGGGGAGAACACCAGTTTTGTGACTGAAACATAAACATAAAATAATGCTTTTTATTTAATTTTTTTATAAAGCCCCTCAATTTAAACACGTGCTCTGGTAATTTTGAATTATTAAATGATTTCTATAGTGGCAATATAGGACACTGTTTTACCACTAGGTGTCGCTCTGTGCACTTTAAGTGTTAGGGCGATTTTCAATGGCACTAAATGTTATATTTTTTGTTATATATGTTATATATTTTATACATTAAATAATATGTACAGACTATAAAAGTTGAATGGAGACAAATCACACGGATGGAAATTTAGTTTTTCTTTCCGATCTTCAGCCTTGAATCGACGCCGGGTCACAGAGCTCCTGCGGGGATGAAACCAACAGTTGACCAGGCAAATGTAAGCTGATGTGAGACTAGATTTATGAAAGTGTTGCGGGAAATATACCTTAATCCCAAGAGCTTCTCTTCCCCATCAGACCCACAAAGGTTTGAAATTTGTGCCCTAGAAAGAAAATCAGCATTTCACCAAATATATATATATATATAATTTTTTTTTTTTTTTACCTCTGAAATAATGCTGAACTGAAATGCAAAAAATAGAAAGTTATAAAACTTACGTTTACGTGCCGTCCGTGTTTTTCCTGTTTGTGAAGAATTAAATGGATGAGTGAACTCTCTCTGGGTAGATGAGCAGTTTAAAACATAAATCTGCATAAATTTGTTCAAAATGCCGTCATATCGTCTTACCAGACTCCTTTCTCCCCATAAATCCAAGATGTTGGCGAGATCCTGGTTTTCTGATCATTCTCACTAAAATGTCTTGAATTTCTTTAGAGTTTGGCCATTTTTCCTTATATGAGACAAACACAAGCAAATAAAGACGTTTAATATTAAACATTCTCTTTTTTCCATATGAGAAAAAATACAATACAAGCCTGAAACCGAATCCAAGAAATTATTTCATTAAAAGGTTTTGAGCCTAAGCATTAATCATAATCACATACTTTGTTTTAACTTTCTTTATACGTACTCTGAAAGGACGCTGGCAGCAAAGAAAGTGCCAGCAGGTTTATAAAATTTTACCTCCTCGATGTCTTCTCTCCAGATGTCAGCATCCATATCTTGACAGAAAACGTTTGACAGAAGCAGCACAGAAATGAAAACAAGTTTAAGCGTTTCCATCACTGCAGACTGTGTGTACTTAGCCAGGAACACAGATAATAAATATCTGTGTGCAAGTGGATCACACCTCACTGCTGAGTTTCAGATGAAGAGAGCAACATCCACGGTTCTTGTGCCGAGGTCCCTTTACGCAACGTTTGCGCGCTTTTACGCACAGCTGTGTGAGTGAAAGATGAGGGCTGATGCTCATCTCCGACAATTATTCTGAGTCACTTGTTGCACGTCTTCTAAATGGCCTTGTGTGACTTGTTCAGAGAAATGTTTTGAACTGGACTACTTTAACACTGGCTAAAATGCTTATCAGACTACGCTATATGATATAATTGGAACATCTTCACAGCACATGGAAAATCGTTAAATTAACAGTAAAAGAGTCAAAAACTGGTTATGGACAAATCAAGTTTGTGATCATGTATGAGTTGTATAGTTTTAATGTTTTATTTGGGAACAGAATGGTGTGAATGTGTAAGTTTGGTGATGGAGCTTTTATTATGAATGAATGATGAATTTTTATGAATTATTATGTCTATTTTTTATGCTTAAGGACAACAGATGGAAATTAGCCCTTGGCTATAATCTGGTATGTTTACATTCATGTAATTTTTTTTTTTACATTTATGTTCATTAACATGCACTGTCCTAAATAAAATAAATACATAAATAAAAATTAAAGGAAAATAAATTATTATTAATTTTCAGTGCGTAACTATCATTTTCAAGGTCTCCTACAGGTCCACACTGCAGTGTGGACTCTGATTTGTGCATTTAGCAGCTTATTGTTGCTGTATGTAACCACCACTTTTTTATAATCCATTTTTATTTGGTTTTGTACTTCCTTTTACATCTTAATTTCTCAATATGTAACCTCAAATTTGACATGATTGTGATATGGTGAAGCTCTCTGAGACATGCCTTAGTTTTTGTATTAGCAGATGTGCAAGAAAATGTCCTGATGAATGAGATACGGTTATATAAAGAGCTACATTATACTTGTACTTTACATTGTTTACTTTATATCGATAAAACTGAATAGTTTTCTTAATAATAGCAACCAATATATGTTGTAATGGCATACTCTAGTTCTTGAATTGGCTCTTGTGTCGGATAACCTTTTAAATATTTTTATTGAGATAAAAGAATACGATTCAGTTTAATTACGTTTTATTTATACAGCACCCATTCATAACAACAGTCACCTGCACGGTGCTTTATATTGTTAGGTAAAGACCCTACAATAATACAAGGAAATTCCCCCGATAAGCAAGCACTTGGCAACAGTAGGAAGAAAAAAAAAATGTCCCTTTTAACAGGATGACTCCTTCGGCAGAACCAGGCACAAGGAGCAACAGCTATCTACCACAACTAGGGGGGGTAAACACGGGTAAATGTGTACAATACTATGCAAAAGTCTTAAAGTGTCCTTCATTTCTTCATATTTTGGAAAGAAAACTGGTAATAGGGGGAAACATGTATGTAAATAAAGTATATAAAGCCAAAACACAGTATTTTACAATTCTAATGAGGTATGAACACACTGCGTCGGTAAGACGGAGGATCAATGACTGATATTGTTCAGTTGTGAACAAGACACGTTGCCAAGGTGGCTTCAGTATAATTTCTTTAGGAACTAATAAAGTTCTGATTCTGATTCAGTCAACAGTAGATTGATCAACTAAAGAACCAGATACGTTTTTCAGGACCAGTATCAAGTCTTTCCTTGATGTTTTTATTCATGTTCTTAAGCACTTACACTGTTCACCTGCTGTGGTTCTTTTCTTTCTTTCTTTTTTGCCCCGCAATGGTTATAGTTTCTGTGTTTTTGAAACAGGTCAGCAGTAACAAAGTACCTGATGCTAAACTTTAAAACTGCTTCTTTAACTCGTCTGTTATGTGTAAACGCTACACTGGTTCCCCTTTAAGTTGGATTCTTTTTTATCTTCGGATGGTTCATAGACATGTCAGGGGTCTTAAAACATTTCTCTGAAATAGGTCAGGTAATCATCAAATCTCGCGAGATGTTGAAAATTTATTTCTGCTAGTCGTTTTGCAGCTATTGTCTCCTATTGTTTTGCTAATGTTTTCCGCCTCAACTAAGCGTTTTATCACGACAGATTTAATTATTTTGACGACCAATCAAATTCTCTGTTTCAGATCATTTTCCGTTAAAAGTACCGTTTGCGCTTTCCTGGACCTGTGTCCCCGAAGGGCTGCCGTAGACAGCGGCTCGGCCCGCCTCCAGCTCAAATGTTTGGATGTCATGATTAGGTGGAAGGAGGAAATCACAGGTCGTCTGGGGACAGCTTAAACAGACTCTGACCCTTTAAGTTTAAGTTAACTTTTGGCGAAGTGATGTCCGACCTCGGTTGTTCGTGGTGAGTTCACGGGCACTAGCTTACACCGGGAACATGGCTTTGTTGCGTTCAAAGTCTGCGCTGTTGTGGTTCCTGATTGTTGTGGCAGCTCATATCGCTGAAACAGGAGGGAGACCGAGGCGCCAGGTGTTGCTGACCGAAGGTGACAGCACGGTGAGTTTGAGATCTCGGCAACCTCCCGCAGGGCCGGAGCCCGGTGACCCGGCGGACGCGTTCAAAGTACCAACTCTGGATGGGGAGTTTTCCTTCCAGCCCGACGCTTTGAGGGGACCTCTGGTGATCCACGCCTTCACCAACAACTCAGGGTTTCTGGAGTGCCTTTGGAGCTCAGAGTCTTCGCTAAAAAGTCTCGTGGAGGAACTTCCGAATAGCACACAAGTGCTCTTCCTATCCCTGGACGACTCTGTGGTCAATGATGTTCTCTGGATGCGGGAGCAGGTGCTGCGGGCCGCCGCCCACAGGTGAGCGTGAAGGACTCATCCTCGCTGTAAGGCAGACGAATTGGGTTCCAGTGGTGATAGAAAACAGATGTTTAATAGCACTTGGCAATGCATACCTGCACTGAGTAAAACATACTCAGTGTCAATACAATTATATTAAATTAATTAATATTCTGAAGCTGTTTATGCAAAAATTTTCTGTTGTGGGTGGTGGAGTTACCTATGCTCACTTTACATACGCACAGTCTAGTTTTGAAGCACAAGGCTAAACTTCGCTTTTCTGTCAAATGTTAGATATGGACAGGGATTCAGAACATGCAACCTCCACTAGAGGCTAAAAGCTAAACGTGAAAATGGAACAGAAAAAAGGCTTAAAAGAACAGCTGTACACATCTGGAAATATTTCAGCACACCCACTTTTAAATGCAATCACAACATCACTACAGAAATGACATGCAAAGCACTGCACAGATAGTGAAGAGGATGATGGATCGGGTAATAAAACAACACAACAGAACACAAATATCAGCAGGAGCAACAAAGCAAATGTGGTGCATATTATGACTGACAAATATAAATCATTTAAAGTGCTTGAAAGTTCACTTGGGGATAAATTTCTGCCAATTTTAATATTTTTGCAGGTTGGTTAAATCTTTGGCTTCAGCAACTTGAAGTGGCAAAAGACCTACTGTGAAACACTAAGTCCATCCAATGATTGAATAAGTTGTAGAACGACCTTTAGCAGTAGGAACTTTGAAGTAATGGTTTTGTGTGTGACTTTCAGCCTCTGTCCCTGTTGGGGGGTAAATGTTGGCCCACTCTTCTTCAGTTCACTGAGGCCTGTGAGCATTAAATTATGCACAGCTCTCTTAAGGTCCCTCCACAGCATTTCAGTCAGATTGAGGTCTGTACTTTGAGTGGGCGCTAATACCTGCTGATGATCATGTTCATTTGAATAGTAGAACCTGTACTTAGTATTTTCACGTGACTGCATAGAGTTGGAGTTGCTGGTTTTATTTAAAGACAGTTTGAGAGCTTCAGATGCAAAATTAATAATAATGGATTGGATTTATATAGCGCTTTTCAAGGCACCCAAAGCGCTTTACAATACCACTATTCATTCACTCTCACATTCATACACTGGTGGAGGCAGCTACAGTTGTAGCCACAGCTGCCCTGGGGCAGACTGACAGAAGTGAGGCTGCCATATCGCGCCATCGGCCCCTCTGGCCAACACCAGTAGGCAAGTAGGGTAAAGTGTCTTGCCCAAGGACACAACGACCAGGACAGAGCGCCCAGGGATCGAACCAGCGACCTTCCGGTTACACATGTGATTCCCAACCCCCTGAGCCACGGTCGCCCGTTAAAAATTAAACAGTTTTAACAACAAAAAACCTGCAGACTTGTGAAATGTGACTTCTTTTCTGCTCTGGTTCAAATTCCATAAAGCTTTGAGACCCACTAGTTTCCTCTCTAATGCATTCCCATCCATAAGCTAATTTTGTCTGTAAACTATAAAATTTCAGTTTATATAACTGGAAATTTACCTTTTTCTATTTGAACGTGAAACACACAGGGCCTTCCAAAGGATCATAAAATATAGATTTCATACGATGGATAATTTTAGCACTTTCATCATTTATTTCAACTCTGTGCTGTGAAACAGTTTTGACATTAAAAAGTTTCTTGGAAGATTAAATGAGCAGAGTATACTTCCTTTTTTTTTTTTTTTTTTTTTTTTTTTTTAAACTTGCACAGGAGGCTGATATTTTATTTTACAGTTTTCAGGAACATTAATCCTCAAAGCTGTAAAATAATCGGTTATGTGAAACAGGAACCATCTTAATAATAGTGACAACATACTGTACCAAACACAGGAAACTGCACTGGGAAAAAAGGGAAGCGCAGCAGAAGTAAAAAGTACCTAGAACTCCTTAGTCTATTGGAAAACATGATGTTTTTATTTAAATCTCAATGTTTTATTAACATGAGCAAGATCCCAAATGTCACTGCCAGAGTGACATTTATTGTATTAACCATTTTCTTGGGTTGTTTAGAGTTAACCTGTGAAGGATTTTTCTTACTTTCAAATATGTGCACTTAAAATGGTGGATGCTTGCATTAAATATGGCCATCAAAAGCTTCAGACACATCGAAGTGCTTTGTGTTGGACAGTTTTTCTTGGTTCTGTATGATGTCACAGGGGATATCCCTGTCTGTGAGTTGTTTGGTACCGTGCTGCAAGAGTTGAGGCTCGAGTGTGAAATTTATGGTTTTCAAGGTTTTTATCGTTATTTTGTTTATCTTTTTCATCGTTAACTCAGTTTCCCTGGGTCTTTTCCTGTGTGTTATGAATAAATCTTCTTTTTTCTTTTTTTTTGCTACCGGTACTGGTGTTATTTTGTTGTATTTATCTGCCACACCTTAAAGGCTGGTCTGTGAAAATATTGTCTGACATAAATGGTAAATGGCCTGTATTAGTATAGCGCTTTACTAATCCCTAAAGACCCCAAAGTGCTTTACACATTCAGTCACACACACATTCACACACTGGTGATAAACCGGTCCGTGGTGCAAAAAAGGTTGGACCGCTGATCTAAGACACAGAAACCACAACCACCTGATGCTCCGATCTTCTGCTTTTGAAGTGCAGCCAATCAGAAGGCATATGACTAAAATGGCTTCTCCCCCCCCCCCAAAGTTAGCAGATGAACTGTATGAAATAAATTGATTATTTTGAAGTCCAAGAGTTTAAACTTGGAGCTGAAAATAAGGTTTTATGGTTCTTCCTGAGTTAATATAACCATCCGTGCGCTTGCCTCTTTTACGTTTCTGCAGTAAAAAGGAGGTTCTGTCCAGGCTGCACTTCTCTCCGGTGCCCGTCTTTGCTCTGGGTAACTGGATCCCCAGAGTGCTTTACTACTGGAGCTGCATGGGACACAGCTGTGGTCTTTCCCAGGCTGCTTTCATCTCAGAGGGTAAGACAGTGCATGAAATCAGACTCTGCAACTGATTTTTCTCTTGACCTGCCTGATTTTTAGAGGAGTGAAGTCAGAAGGTTAATTTCAGGTCTGTTTATTAGTAGATATTAATATTTAGAATGCAGAGGAATGTTGAGACGAATCATTTATTTGTAATTCTTGGCTCCCCCCTGCAGAGTGGAAGATGCCTGTGATCATTAAAAGACTAGATGCCAGATATGACTGGCTCATGGCACGCTGGGGCTCAAAGTCCTATACAGTGATTGATGCTGGAGATGGGTGTGAAACCTTCTCCTCGGTGGCAGGTGCTGTGGCCTGGGTGTCTGAAGGCAACTGTTCTTTCTTCACTAAGGTCTGTTAGTGTCAAATTGAATGAATGTTTTTGCTTCCAGTTTGTTGACTTCTGTGGTGACGTGCTTGAAGTTCAGTGAAATTAAATCGAACTGGGAGGATCCGGAGACTTAAAAGGCTTTTTTTTTTTTCTTTTTTTTTTCCCTTGACATTTAAAGCTTGACTACATAAACGCATCAGATCTCAATAGAAAAAACAAACATGCTGGATATCTATACAGATGTGGGCTGGGTAATGTGTTAGGGATGAAGGTATGCTATATCATTTGATGGAAGTAAAAATGATCAACCTACAAAGGACAGAATTGAAAGGCAACTCAAAAATCAATGACAAAAATAATGAAACGATGGAGGAGAAACCACAAGTCTTCATGCTGAGAGGCTGAAACCAATAATTCTTGGTTTTTATTTGACTTTTATTTCTTAATAATTTGGGAACTTTTGGCTGGTGAGGCCAACACTTCTTGGTCTCCGGTGTAGCTGATGGACATCAAAGCTGTGCACTGACCCCCACGTGGGCGACCGTGGCTCAGGGGGTTGGGAAGCATATCTGTAACCGAAAGGTCGCCAGTTCGATCCCCGGGCTCTCTGTCCTGGTCGTTGTGTCCTTGGGCAAGACACTTTACCCTACCGCCTACTGGTGTTGGCAAGAGGGGCCGATGGCGCGATATGGCAGCCTCGCTTCTGTCAGCCTGCCCCAGGGCAGCTGTGGCTACAACTGTAGCTGCCTCCACCAGTGTATGAATGAGAGAGTGAATGAATAGTGGTATTGTAAAGCGCTTTGGGTGCCTTGAAAAGCGCTATATAAATCCAATTTATTATTATTATTATTATTATTATCTGTTTGAATGAGGAGAAAAATATATAAACTTCATGATTTAAAAAAAAAAACAAAAAAACAAAACAAAAACTAAATCATTGGCAGACTGTACTGATAGTTTTGGGTTTGCATTTCAGCAAATCCAATCCCTCATTTGCTCTCTACGCAGACTGTTTACCCACATGTAGTCAAAGCCTGCTCAAACATGATTGGCCAATAGCACTCAGACCACTAGTGGAACCAGAAAGCTTCCAGTATCAAAAGTTTTGCCCCTTGCTGACAGATTCATAGGCAGATATGTCTTTATTGAGATTATTAAAGTTTTAAATTTAGATTTTTTTTTTTTAAAACCTTTATTGGAGACTTTTCCCCCAAAAGACATGCACCCGTGAGCCACTGTGCTGCAGACTGCTCAACTTATCAATGGGGATTTGTTTTTCACAGCATATATCAAAGTGTGGGATGGACACTGTGGATAGTTGGTTTTATGAAGTCTGCTGATGGTTCTGAGTCAAATCACTCTTCCCCTTGTTATATGACTCCAAGGAGTTAGGCACAGAGAAATCAGGAAGCTAAGACCACAGACATTTCTGGTGGAAAAATAAAAATGTTCCATTTGTTTAATTTTTTTTTTTTTTCTTCAAATCTATGTGACCTTTACCATAAATGTCAAGTTCAGCAGTTTTCAGCATTGTAGCCTCAAATAAATTCTTCCCTGTTTCCTTTCTTTTATAGACCAAACCATGGATGCATTAATTACATAAGCATAGACATTAATTATTAATTATTAATATTGAGGTCTGTAACAGTTTCATCCTCTCTGATTTGTTTTCCTTCAGGTTCAGAGCATGGCCAAGTCCAATGCCTCCGGTGTCCTCGTCTATACCCTCCCTGGAAATCCACTCCAGGATATGAACTGTGTTGGGGATGAGTGTTTCTCGCTGCTCAGCATCCCAGCTGCCATGGTGCATCAGGACCCTGCGGTCGCTCAGACGCTCCGGTAAGATCGGCTCACCTGCAGGATTAAAAGCCTCCTGATGTTGATGCTTCACATTCACGTACAAGGACTAACTGTTCTTCTAAAAGGTCACAGTAATGGTTTTTGTTTTGATGTTCCGATTTGTTGTTCAGGTTTGGAAAGCTGGTCAATGTGTCGTTCCAGAACACCCCGTCCCCAAATTTCTTCATCAGCATTGACAAACAGGGGTTGCTGGCTGAGATGGGCTGGTTCCTCTACCCCACGTTCAGCTTTGTTAACTGGCAGGCCCAGTGGTAAGTACATGAAGGTTACTGAAACTGGAAGATTACGGTTTATAATGTAACAAGAGGACACTAGAAGCTTTATTCCAGTGTTTTAACTGATTATTAGATTTCACAGATGGAATCTGAATCCAACTTTTTTTGTTTTAATTGAGTAGCACTTTGATTTTAGGATTAATATACATATGATCAATACCAGGCCTTCTTCAGAGACGGTTATAATAGAAGTTCCACTGAGTAATTTATTTTATGCCTTTTTCTGTCTCAAGTTCCTAGTCTTTTTAGTTCTAATAACAATAAGAGTTAAGTTATGTAGAATGAAAAACCTACATGCTAATTGAAGTTTTGATCAATTTCTTTAGAACTGCAAGATGGAACATTTGGTCTTGTAGCTTTCTTCTTCCTTGTGTTGAATGCAGCCACTTTACGTCGGCTGCTTTGGTTACATTGGTTATATTGTCCCACAGGGGGAAATCAGTTTAGCAGCAATAAGAATAAACAAAACAATGATAAAAAGCCACAAGACATGCCATTAAGTAAACTGGTTGCAGTAGGGATAAAAGCAACCTGGATTGTTTTGGTCTTCCTTGCAGGTACTCTGAAACGATGGCCAGAGGGCAACAAGTCAATTGTTACAACCATAAAGCGAGCCTTCCTCAGCACATGCTTGTTATACATGGCCAAAAGCCTGTCTTGCCAACGCTCTGAGATTTTGCTGGCAGTTTTTACCAAAAGTCCCAAAACGATTCTTGTTCTTCAGAGTCATGTTACCAAACCAAGCGGCAATACAGAGAGAAATAACAGATTCAATAAAACTTCTGTAAATCAAGGAGAACATTTCAGATGAGACATTAAAAGATCTAATCATCTTTAAGAAGAGCAGTCTTTGCTGAACTTTTTTGGTAGTGGCATCAGCATGAGGCTCAAAACACAGTTTGAGGTCAAGAACAACCCCTAAATACTTGTAACTCTCCACAATCTCAATATCAGCAGCTGTAATGATGGTAGGTGATGAGCTATAAGAAGACTTCCTAAAATCAATGCCCATGGCCTTTCTCACCCCCCACAAAAGACAGGACATGTGACACGTCTAAAGGATGAAACTTATATGCAGTAAATTTTTATGTTGTTTTGTATTTGGTTTTTTTTTGTTTTGTTTTGTTTTTTTTTAAACTGCTGTATCTTATGCATAATGAACCTCAAAATAGATATTTTGGTTATGGCATTTGATGTAGTTTGTAGTCACCAGTACAAGCTCTCCATGGCTGCACTGCTTTTTTTTTTTTGGGTGTTTTTGTCTGTCATTGATCAGTTACTTTTGCTTCGTCTCCAGGTTTGATTTCTTTGCTGATCTGCAGACTAAACTCCAGAATCCTGCAAAAGTTGTTTCTGTCTTTGATAAAGTCCAAATGCAAGGGGACAAAGGAGCCGTGGCCACAGTCGACCTGTCTATAGGTAAGTTTATCAAAACAACTGTTAATTACATAATCAGGTTAATTGTGATAGACAAGTTGTTCATATAATGCTGCTGTAATAGACTGATTTTTATCTGTGAAAGCATTACGCTTTAATCAGATTCATGTGACAGAAAAGAAATATCAGATATTGTTAAAATAAAACTGATCATTTTGCGGCTATCATGACTCTTTACACCCCAAACCAATGTTGGATATTCATCTTAACTTCAAATATGAACATTTTTCTTTGTCCTGGTGGCAGGGACTGGGAGCAGCCCCTCTGTGGGCTTCTCAACTCTGGAGTTTCAAATGATTTTTTTTTTTTTAATTTTATTTATTTTAATTTTTTATTTTTAGAGAGCAGTTTTTTGACATCTTGACTCAAGATTCATCATTAACTGCAAAAATTATATACACAGAGTGACTTAACATCCTACTGGAATAGGTGAATGGTCGACTCTCGGCAGCAGGAACATTGACATATAAGAAAGATGGAAAATGTATGTTTTTATTTATTTATTTATTTATTTTTTAAAAAAGTACTTTGTCCACAGACTTGTTGGACTTTGACATGTTGGAACTTGATGCATCGCTGTCATGTCCGGGCAAGAGAGACTCGTCATGCGCTCAGTGGGATCACACTGTGCAGCTTTTTGTCTGCTGCGACCGCACGAGTCCGTACTGCAACATGGAGCTGGGTCGATGGATCACTGCCTTCCGCAGGTACAAAGCTCGTGGGAAGCACTGATAGCACAGCTATGACCGTCAGTCTGCCCCAGGGCAGCTGTGGCTACAACTGTAGCTTGCCTCCACCAGTGTGCCAATGTGAGAGTGAATGAATAGTGGAATTGTAAAGCGCTTTGAGGGCCCCAAAAAGCGCTATATAAATGCAACCTATTATTATTATCATTATTATTAGTTTGTGCAATATGATTTTTGTCTTATTTTACCAGAGGTATCGGGCGCTGGCTGACGGATGTGTCCCCTCTGATCCCCCTGCTGGACAGCAATAAATGCACCTTCACTATGAAGACGGTGCCTTGGGCGATGCCTTGGATTGTTTCCCTCAATCTGAGGTTCAGTGGCACCAATCAGACAGGTGAATAACACAGATGATGCAATCAAACTGCAGCAGGAAGCTTGTTACATTTTACAAACATGTCATGAGTGTGTGTGCGCTGAGCACAAATTGGCACTACTGAGCAAATCTTTCTCATGCAAACAAACCAGGATATGATCTTAAAATGTATGTTTAAACCACTTGGATGCTAAAGCATATTCAAAATATATCATTAATAATCAATTAAACGCATAACAAAAATCAGGATTATTAAAGCTCCATAATTTGTAAATCTAGAGGAAGATGTTGCATCAGATTTTTTTTTTTTTGTTTGGTTTTTTTCTCTGTCACAGGAAACTTTGTGGAGAGCTTTCATCCCTTTAAAGTGATGTCACTGTACGATGGAGGAACCTTTGACAAAAATTACAACAAGAGGTACCAGCCAATCAAATTCACTGTCCCAGCGTCCACCAAAAAGGTATCGGATATGATGTTAACCACAAAATGTCAAAGCCTGTTTCTAAAAGATGGACGTAACTTCCAGCTGCATTCTTTGCAATGGCCACCAGGGGTCAGGCTGGATAGAAGTTTATGGAGAAAATAACCCTACTGCTAACTTAATTTATGAGCTAAACAGTTATTCAAGAAAAACGCCATGAAGTCGATGGTGAAAACGCAGCTCAAGGCTTCAATGTAATATATCTTCAGAGTCCTTAAGGTTGAAGTCACGATGGCTACGTCCATCTTTTACATACAGTCTTTGCTAGTTGTTTACAGCTGTCTGTGGAGGATCACATTGGCTGCATGTCTGTTTTCAGGTGGAGCTGTACGCTGTCATCACAGGACACGGCAGCGACGAGAACGGCTGCGGAGAATTTTGTGTCACCTCCCACCATTTCGTGATCAACGCTGCTTATAACAACACCCACGTATTTGATTCTGCAGGTGAGGAAAAGATGCTTTCTGCATGACTGCTAAAGATTTTAGATGTTATAGTTGTCAGTGGTCTGAGTCCTCAGGACAAGTTTAATTTTGTCCTGCCGTCCAAATTTAAAAATACTAGATCGATACTCTATCCACAAAAATCAATTTGAAATCCTCAAACTTTACATTTCTTTTTAATTTTAAAAAATATTCTACTGATGAACTAACCTACAAATGTACCTGAGGATTGTTTATCAAGGTGCTTGTTAAAGCCTTAAAAATAAACTGGTCGGTGCAAATTGGAAATCAAACGCCATGTCATGTTGGGACAATTAGGAACGGCTCTGGGCTGTGCAATGCGCGTCAAAGAGGGCGCTGTACCGAACGAACACGGCACATGGCTGTACGGCCGAGGAGGCTGGTGTGATGGACTACAGGTGAATCCGTGGAGGGTTGACGTCACCAAACAGGTTGGTTCTTCTCCACCAAGTTTCTCATTTCATCCCTTAAATATTTATGAAATGCCAGACTTAAAGCTCCTCTTAATATGAAACCCACAACAAAACAGTCCTAAAATGTTATTCAGCCACAGTAAGCAGCTACTGGCAATTGAGCCATGCTTTATAGCTTTTTAACACAACAGAACTGTTGCCTTAAAAAAAAGTTTGAGAATTTCATGTTTCTTAAGGACAGATGTGGCAATAATAGATCTTACACGCTTTTGCGTGAGCTTTCTAGTGGTGTCCACAATAACAAAGAGAAATCAAAACTGTCTAAAAGCTGGAGAGTCTTCAAAACGGATGCACAGCTGCACTAGGCTGAATATTCTGTTATGCTCATTTCCAGCTCAATGTTGACATTACTGGCCTCTGATAGAGAAGCTTTGCATGACTGACAGTTCAAAATAATCCTTGTCTTATTCTTGGCCTTGATGCAGTCCCTCTGTCTGAAATCGTTCTAGCTCTCGTCTCCATTCCTTTTAGCTGACTGTCTTCTGATTGGCTTCCACGTGTTGACAGAAGAATTGAATCCAGATGGGTGGGGCCCATGAACATATAAGGGATCAAACAGACTCAAGAGTAGGAAAAAAGTAAAAGTACAATCAGTTTGCTGTAAGAAGGACACAATGTGAAATCTGCCAGTGGGAATTCATCACTGCGTCGCTTACACACTTACACAGTGCTTTCTCTAAGGGGTTCTCTTCTTCAGTAGTTTTATAAGAACCTCAAATTGAAGTCATGCTGAGGAGAAGCACTTGATTTGAAGTTGTACCCATTAGAATAAAGGAGCACTTTATTATTCTCGAGTGAGTTATTGACCCCAAAGACTCCTGATCTAATCGAGTAAATCCTGACTAGTCTCTGAGACTGAACCTCACGTCATTTCATTAGACAGGTTTTATTAACACTGTGCGGCTCTCTTCCTGTCCCGACAGCTCAACATGAGCAGGTCTGAATCCAACACTGTCGTCTACTTTGGCTTGTTCAACGGACGGGATCCAAACCCAGCGCAGCAGCCAGGATACATCATCATGACCTCTTCCCTCGTCTTCTACAAGTGATCCCGCTCTTTTTAAAAACTCTCCTGTGAATTTCGATCTGAATGAATGTACAGTCAGTTTAACGATTAAAATGTTTCTTTAAAAATTTTTTTCCACCGCTTTTGTTCACTGATTCCTTTGCTTTTTCTCCCATTTAATTAACTTTAGCACAATACGGTTCTGACGGCAGCAGTGATGCAAAATAATACCTGCCACCCTCGTCCAGCAAAACCAGCCATTTACATTTCTCTGGAGACGTTACCCCAAAGTCAACAAGAAGACGCCTTACAGCTAAATGGGCACTCCATATGATTTTTTTTTTTTTTTTTTTTGTCTCAAGCTGAAGATGCATTGTTCTGAGAGCAGCCTCTCCTCCGTAATTACATGTAATCATGTCCAATTTGAAACTTTGGCTTGAAGCAAGTGTCTCGCGCTGAGTCATCTTCCAATTGTGCTTCTTATGGGAGGTGAATCCTCTCAACTTCAGCAACAGAACATCTGCTTCTTGTCGGTGTTTTTGTTATTTTCGTTTTGGATCTTGTTTAGCAAGATCTGGGGAAATTGTCGGCAGAGTAATTAGCTGCTGCAGCTCAGAGCTTAATGATTCCCTCTTTAACGGGTGGGTACAGTCAAATGTTTGGAAGGTAAAACGGTTTTAATATACTTGGTTCTCTATGTTACACACAATAGATTTAAAATTAAAGAAATGTCACAAAAGACTGAAGTGTAATTAGATTTTATTAAAATTTATTATTTTTAAAACTTCATGAAGGAAGTCTGACACACATGCTGCTTTGGCCACTCCTCGCTTTTTTAATTTATCACTTGCATTATTTCATTATGATTACTTTACTACTTGTGCATTCATGGCTTCAGCTTACAAGTGGAAATTTCAAACAAAGAATCGCCCAGAGATGAGTTTAATTTATGAGGTATACCCACACCTGTGTCGTCAGTTATCTTTGATCCCATGAAAATGGGCTGATTTTAAGAAAGGTTCCAGTTCCCCAGCACTTAAGTCTCTTTGTTTAACATCTAAAACTAAATATTTAATCTAAAAATACACCAAGCATTTTTAGAAGCATTATTTGTTTGTTTTTGTGTGTATTTGGAGAGGGGGAAAAAATCATGTCTATTCAGCACAAACCTTAAACTAAGAGCCTTGGATGAAACTTGGATGCTCATGATTAAAAGGTACACTTTTATTTTGATCTTTTAATGACATTATAAGTATTAAAAATAAACATACATATAAAAAGTATCATTAAAAAACATTGCATTATAAAAAAAGTTACATTTTCTTGTTCTTAAAGAAGTTAGTGGTATTTTAACAGAGGAGCTCTGAAGTGACATAAAAATTGTTTCCTCTTTTTCTTTGTTTTAAGACAAATACCACAAATAAGTAGTCCACTACATTTAAAACCTAAAACTCAGTTTGATTTAATGATGCTCTCTAACATTAGCTGCTTATCTATCCGTGCCAAAGTAACTACAAGAGTACTCACTTACTGAAGTGAACTTTCTGGTAAATCTCACATCAATTTGAATCAAAATCTTTTCTAAGCATTTCATATGTGTGTGTGTGACTGCAGGCATGTGCGTGTCAGGCCTTGACACAGGCTTCTTTGCAGCTCTTCTCAGTATCAAACTTGTTGTCATTCCCTAAGCAGCCTCCAAACCAGAACTGAGCACAGGAATTCGCCGTGGGATCGTAGTACCACTTCACCACATATTCCCGACACGGCCCTGGATCCAGGGTCTGGGTGCAGCGCTCGGCTAGAGACCACAAAAAAATAGTGTTATCAGAGACGACACCTGTGCTAGCAGCCCCGTGGGGACTCTTATTCTTTTGCTGTGTTCAGTTACTGGTAAATATGTTTTCTTTTTTTGTTTAATGGGACAAGGACAGAGGGGCAAAATAAAGCATTGAAACATGGTTTAAAGTTTCCTGTATTGTAATATATTAAGCACTCTGCAGAACTAAGGACATCTGGGAGAGAAACTGAAAATGGCACTAGAATCAAAATGTGGGACCTAACAGTTTCTAATAGATCAACAATGTGACTTTCATGGTGTAGACAGAGGAATTACATTAGAGGATTGCTTTGATCCTCTGATGACCATCAATGTTTGTAGCAAGGTTTACACCAATCCAAATAAAAGCTGCTGGACAACACTGATCAATATTTTTGGCCCTACAAGGCAGTTCAATTCTTACAAGATTCATGAGATCATGATTATGAGAGAATCCTTCAGTGTTCTGTTTGAAAGTGGTATTTAGGGTTGATTCCAGTCAAGTTTTGCTGCCTAAATCATCCAGTTGACTGAGTGATACCTACCCCTATATTATCACAACATTTTTGAAAGTGACAGCTGTTTGAAACAGCAACCTTTTTAAAGCAATTTAAAAGCTTAATTTTACTGCTCTGAAGCATCAGAGCAGTAAGAAGAATGCAGGTGTTTACAGCGTTTGTACAGAAATGTCTTTGAAAAATAAGATATGAATCCTATAGTTTCAAATGCATGTTTAAATTGTGTGACAGTTCTTGCTCAGAGCCACTGATGGATATTCTCCAGCAGGGGGCGGCTCTTTTAGATAGAAAAAAAAAAAAAACCCTCATTTTTGCTTCCCTTGATCTGCAAGCTCCTGATGACTTAAGGCCTCACTCTAATTGTTTACCCAGTAAATTCCAATTGGATTAAAATGATGCTAATTTTTGTAAATAAGTAGTATTTTAAATTAAATCCCTGTAATAGTTAGAAATGATGACAAAGTGGGCCGTACTTGTAATTAACCAGTTCTTCAGTCCCAGTAAGCATTTGCTTTTGATCTCTGATAACGATTACCAAGAGGTCAAGAGCAAAAATACTCAGCTCAAAGATTTACAATCTCATTAACCAATGGGTGAAGTCACTGTGGCCATGTCCAGCCTTTACAGTGGCTTGCAAAAGTATTCGGCCCCCTTGAACGTTTCCACATTTTGTCACATTACAGCCACAAACATGAATCAATGTTATTGGAATTCCACGTGAAGGACCAACACAAAGTGGTGCACACGTGAGAAGTGGAACGAAAATAATACATGATTCCGAACATTTTTTACAAATAAATAACTGAAAAGTGGGGTGTGCGTAATTATTCAGCCCCCTGAGTCAATACTTTGGCAGCAAAAAAGGTGGTTCTACAATCTTTTAAGGTCTGTCTCTACCAGCTTTGCACATCTAGAGACTGAAATCTTTGCCCATTCTTCTTTGCAAAACAGCTCCAGCTCAGTCAGATTAGATGGACAGCGTTTGTGAACAGCAGTTTTCAGATCTTGCCATGAAAGAGATCAGGTCTTAGGAGGTTAAATGGCATTTTTGCACATGCACACTGTAGATACAAATGTGGACTTAACTGAGATGAGACTAGCTTGCTTGACAAGTGACCCGTGGTTCTCCTGTCATAGCTCTGTGATAATTTAAAATCTGCACTGTGCATGTGCACTGATATGTGTGAAAAATCAAGGTAGCATTAGCAAGTAAATTAGCATGTCAACATGTAAGCTTTCTCTTAATAAACCCCATAGCCAACATTTGGGATGTAGAGGGAATAAGATGTATTAGTGTGTTTTTAAGAGAATACAAAGTATTTAAAATGAACTTAGTCTCCATAGCAGTAGTATTAATCTATATTGTGCACAATATTGCATAAAATACGGGAAGAAATGTTCTGTTTAATGCTTTGAGTAAAGCATTAAAGGAATGAGGACGGGCATCACAGAATCATTGATCTGCATATTTGAATTTGGTTCAATTTGTCTCATTCTTGTGTAACATTTGTTTTGTCTGTTTTTCCCCCTGCACACCAATAGTTTGCATTATATGAAGAAATATTTTCAGCTGTCTCTCTTTATCTGTGAAACAGCTGCAACAACATCTGATTTGTTGTAATCAGCAGTAACCAACACAAAGGTATGAATCACTTTCCTATCTTGGCACTGATTTCATGAGACAGTACTTGCTAGCAGCTTCTGATTTCAGTACAAGAAAGATAGAGCTGTGGGTGAAAATCAAGCAAAGACTCCTTCTGTCAATCCAGTCAGGGGGATAAATCAAAGGCATTTCTAAATTTAGTTCTGAATTAGTGACAGATTTTGTAGTAGAAAGCAATGGGCTAGTGGTTACTAAGCAACTGATGCTAGGCAACCTTGTTGGTAAGCATTGATTGTGCTTTAGAGGAAGTTGGGGGCTGATTGAGGGTGGGGTGTGTTCAAAGATAAAAAAAAAA